AAAATAACAGCAATGATTTGTTGCATCAAACACACTAGTGGAGGTGAAAGATCATTCGAAACATAATGGTACACAATTTCTATTTACAAGCTTTTATTCTGAAACATATATTATAAAAAAAGTGAGTAACTAAATTTACTAAAAAAATCTAAAGGTTTTTCAGATTTTATATTACGTTCAAACATGCGTTTATTTATTTATTTATTTATTTATTTATATTTTTATTTATTTTTTTTTTCATTTACAGACACATACATGGTACGAGAGCATTTGGGGTAATGCCGCATTAGGCTAAAAATATTTAAAAACTGCATATCTTTAGAATTTCCAATAGATAGCCTAGTGCACTAGAGATAAAAATATTTTTTTCCGTGCAGTGTGATGAAAATGATCGCTTTGAAATTGTTGAGTTTCTTAACCAAGAAGAACTCTTCAAAGTTTTACAAAATATGAAATAGATAATGTGTGTGCGTATGTGATTATGGCAAAGCCTCGAGGGCTATCTGCCTAAATGGAGGGATGCCTTCGTGGAGGACTTTCTGAAATAGATAATAAAACAAATTCTAAATTCAGGATTTGGATTTCCAGGTGCCCATATTCGGGTGGAGAATTACGTTAATCAAAATTTGACAGATCCAGGTACCTTTGATTTTTCACAGTGCAAGAAACATACATACATTCATGTACATTCTTCATTATTAGATTTCTTTAATTATTCTTCATTATTTTATTATAATCCAGGGCGATAATATTTGTTCGCAACAATATGAAAAGTGATTCATACGTTTAAAGTGATTCGACGCAAAATGCCGTTTGGAGACTAACAACCCATCTGGGCTAACGCCCTATTGGGCTAAAATGTTGAAATATATTTGAATACTAGTTCAATTGCAAATACTAGTTCATATTATAGGAATAAAGAACTAATTTTCTTTCAATATATGTCACAATTTATTCTGTGTATTATAAAACATAATCTGAAAATCATTTTATTTTTAACTATAATCAATACTGGATGATTAACGTTTGCAAAAAATAATAAATAAAATGTAATAAGCTGACTATAAAAATTTTTCCATAATATTTATTTTATCTTTAGCGACATAAATATATGAATGCTATAAGATTATGCTTTTAAACTGAAGTCAGAGGAATTTTGTTTAACTTAACGCAGTTAATAAATGCAAATGGGTATATTATTCCCATTTAGTAAAAGGTTTAAAAACATAAATGAGCAGGTTTTTAGCTGAAATAAAATCATCCTCCTTTCACTCTATTAGCCAAAGGCGCGATTGCTTAGAAGGGCTATTAATCTCAAAATCACTTTTCAAATTGCTGCCATCAAACTTTATCACCCTATATTTCATTTAAAGAAATTAATTAATGAAGAATATGGCTGAATGTATGTATGTGCCTCGCATTGCCAAAAAGCAACAGTACCCCAAAGCCATCAAATTTCGAATAATGTAGGCCTCTATCCGAATATGGGCACTTGGAAGCCGAATTCCGAATTTCGAACTTGTTTTATTATCTATTTCATATTTTGTAAAAGTTTAAAATATATTTTATTAAAAACTAACGATTTCTCAAAGTGAGGAGTGGCAATACTGTATGGAATAAAGCCTTTTTTATCTCCAACGCGTGAGACTGTCTATCGAAAATTCTAAAGACATGCAGTTTTTAAATATTTTTAGCTCAAAGGTGCTTTAGCCCCAAATGCTCTCGTAACGTGCAAGTGTGTGTACGATAAAATACATCCCTTTAGACGGAATATAAAACCTGAAAAATTTCAATTTTTTTAATTAATTAGTTTCATAAATAAAGTAATTCTTCATTGAACTGGTTAAAAATTTTAAGCTAAGAACGACCAAAACTCTCCATTTGCATATTAGACATGCCTATAAATTCGGATCTGGACTCCCCAGTCGCCGTTCCTTCGTCGTCTTTTCGCCGGCAAGTAGGCAACTGATCCGCCGCAGAGCATTTCGCCGACACGTGGAAATGGCAAACATTACTAAGATTGCTTGTAATATATATAATGTCTTGATTACAAATTTGCGATATACAGAAAGTTCACGCAGCGCAAAAATTGTGTCAATGTCAAATGAACAAAATTATCGAATTTCATAATTATGGGCTCAACTTCTGAACTATTATATTATACTATCGTCCCTAAAATTATGCAGATACAGAGATCACACGATTTGTTAAAATGTGGTGAAATTTTAATCAGCCGGTTCAGATATTCACTCATGCAAACTAGACATTCATGTTTTAATGAAATCTTAATCTAAAATGGAATTACTTTGGAATCTTGTTGGCACAATCATCTCTTAAAATCAATAAATATATAAATAGATATTCTAATGAGTCAACTTTTATTCATATGTAACAATATATTTGTATAAAACTGAGTACAAAAACATTTCGTATTATATTATCCAAAATGTTATAATACTACCTGAAATGTGAATGTTAACAAACCAACGGGTTCTTCAAATGATAGAAGTTTAGAATATACACTGGTGTGCAAAAAGTAAGGACGAGACGGTTTTTTCAATATAACTTTGTACAAAAGCTTTCCAAATCAACACATTTAATACCGTAAGATCCCCAATGCGTAAGGACATGAGTAATGTAAGCAACACTTACTAAAAGAGAAATCAGAGTGATAAAAAGAAGCTTTATTTAAAAAGTAGCATGGGGCGCAATGCGACTGAAGGCCGAAAAATCCCTGTGATGGGTGTCTAGCAAGAAACATCCGGTCTTTAATAGGGGATATGATCTCCCCTGACTGCTAGGCAGGTTTCACAGCGTCTGCCCATGCTGAGAATGAAGGTGTCAATGAGTTGTTGAGGCATTGCTGCCCATTCGTCTTGCAGCGCCAATCGAAGCTCCGGAATCGTTACTGGTATTAAGGTAAGAGCTGCCAAGCGTCTGCCTAGAAAATCCCATACATGCTCGATGGGATTGAGATCCGGATATCGTGCCGGCCAATCCATACGTTCAATCCTCACTCTCTAAGAGCTGTTCGGCAGCTACTGTGCGATGACATGGTGCATTGTCGTCCATGAAAAGGAACTGCGGACCCATAGCGCCTCTAAAAAGGCGCACATATGAAAGAAGAATCTCGTTACAATAACGGGTCCCGTTGACTGAACCTGCGTCGAAGATGTGAAGGTCTGTACGACTACCAAGCATGATGCCTCCCCAAACGAGAACACCGCTACCTCCATACCTGTTCTTTTCAATGATGTTCGAGGGATGATTGCGGCTTCCCCGCTCTCTCCAGATGAGTATGCGATGAGAATCGCTACTCAGACTGAATCTGCTCTCATCGGTAAAGAGTACTCGTCCCCATTCATTGTCTCTCCAATTCCGGTGTTCCCGGCACCACAGAAAACGCCTTCTCCGATCGGCAGGCGTTAGAGGTACACACCGTACAGGGCGTCGTGCAAACAGACCACCACCGTGCAGTCTTCTGGCCACGGTAAAACGCGATATCGGTCGTCCAGTCACCTGTGTCGTGTGTCTAGCGATTTCTCCCGCTGTCTGCCGCTGTTTCTTCTGGCCTGTAAGGCAATATACCGGTCATCTGCGGGTGTGGTTCCTCGTGGACGACCACTACTAAACCCCCGGATAGCTGTTCCTCTAGTTTGAAATTGTCTCCAAAGTCGTGAAACGATGCTGTGAGCAATTCCGAACTCTGCAGCCACACTTGTCACACTGCGGCCTTCCTCCAACTTCCCAATGATTCGACCTCGGGTAAAATAATCCAGATGTCGCCTAACAGATTGATTATTCGCCATTTCTCGCTGAGGCAGCAACTCGGTGTGATTTTAACTGCTATACGGCGTGCAATCTCTTTGCCAGAAATACTGATCTTACACCGACAACATGCTTTATACTACTCAGACACTCCCTCATCACGTCTACCTGCATATCTGCGCATGTGCTACCGTACATCACCTTAATTAATCTCCTGATTCGTCTTTCTGTCCACTCTGCCTCTTCGTTCAGCTGATATGCTAATTTTTCGACTTCGTCCTTAGTTTTTGCACACCAGTGTATTTTGCCATAAATTTGGCGGTAGAGCAAATTATTTTAAAGTACGATTATTGCGATTTATTTTAATGTACTTGCAACCAGTCGAGTCAAATCAAAAACAAAATTCAATTTCTTTTAATTATATAAATAAAATACCCCTTAAATATTATCTTGCTCTTTAATTAGTTTAATTAGGCTAGTTTAATTTGAAATTTCAAAATAATTTCCTTCTTACTATGTTGCATTATATTTTGCTTAATTTAATTTTAACGCTTTATTTCATTATTTCATATTTCATCTTCATTACGAATGCTTTTGGTCATTGATTTGAATTTTAAGTATGCCATTAATGAAATTATTACTTTAGGATATTTTAGTAATTCTAGAAGATGTGTTTTGTTTTGTTTTGTTAGGGCGGAGCCCGGTCCACATTGCCAAACAAAGTTTGCCCTATGACCATATGCGGGCTACACCAGTACAAAAATCACCACACATCTAGAAGATGTGTTTAACTATAAAAGCTTTTTCTTTTAAAATTTAACACAGCCAGAGATAAGTAAACAGAATATATATAGTATAAGCTTGTCTTGACGGTGAAATATAGACCAATTGCGAACTGGCCCAAAACAGAATTGGCATGCCAAGATGGTAGTTGTGAATAGTTCCATTCCCAGAAATCCAAGGTAATTTTCAGTTTATTGAGAGTTTTATTGTAAATTCTATGTTTAAAAAAGAGAAATGTCAGCCGAATTGGAATTGCAGAATTTTTCGAAATTGGAATAAGTAAATTTGTTGCTATCAAATATGAATTTATTATCACTGACATTGCTTTTTCCTTATTTCGTACTTTCTAGTATTAATATATTCTTTATGAAATTTTATTTCGTTGTACATCTCTTACATGAAATTTTACATGTAAGAGAAATTATTGGGACTTATTTTAAAACACATACCTTTTTCAGGAGTATCGACAATTGTCCTAGAATCATCTCTTATCCATGACGTGACAGTGACGTAATCCTTCATAAATGTAGGAATGCTACATCTCAGAACAGCTGTATTTCCACTGACAGTAAATTCATCAAATACTTGAATTTTGTAAGGTTGTTTCACCACTGGAAAGAAAAAGACGCAATTAACAATTTAAATGATAGCTGCGAGAGCATTGAATACAAAAAATTTGGAAAACTTTTAATGCAAGGAACTCAATTAGTTAAAATATATATTAATCAAATATATGAATATGCAGGATGGCCCACAAATCTTTGACACATTTAGAAAGAAATAGCCATGAAGAAAGCAACATGAATACATGTCATTAGATACTGTTTGAATAATTTTATTCCATATCATAAATAGCCACCACTTATCATTAATACTAAAATAGGGGAAGCGTATTCCCGTATAATTTTTTAACACATACAGTCTCCCCGTGCACTACAAATGTACAACACGGGCTTACAAAAGTAAGTTAACTAAAGCATTAAATATGATACTAAATGAAACGAGCAAAAGCATAGAACAGCAGTCTAGACTTCACAAAAACAGAGAAGTTCGCCTTGCAAGTCACGCCAATTCTTCTCATGTAAATTATTTGATTTAGAATTCAAACAACAAAAATCAGCGTTATATTTTGAAATTTTCACAGGACTAGTTTTGATGGTTTTACCGAACCATCATCCTCAGCTTCAAAAGCGCAAATGAATGAGATAAGATATAATGACTAGATAAGTTAAGAAAGTCTGGAAAGGAGATAAGCTGCCATCTGTTGATGAAACCAGAACAAACATATAATTTATTTAAAGGCTGAAAGCATATATGGATTGGAATTAGGGTCGTTAACTAGAACAGAAAGACTTTTTTTAATTTGAAGTGCCTCAAGAAAATCCAGTTCACCACGGGAAGATGTTTTTTGAATAATTTTGGCAGCAAAAAATTGAAAGTGTGATTTTTAGAACCAAAAAAGTTGGACAACAGAAGACTTCTGTGTTTCTTTTTTTCATATGCCTCATGTTCCTTAACGCGACATTTTAAGGCTCTCTTAGTTTGGCCAATGTAAATTAAGCCACACTGGCAATGAACCTGTAAATACATATCTGGAATTCATATCTGGAATGGGGTCCTTGAGTATGGAACTCGGAATTTTATTGATGGGAGAATAAACGACCCGAAAGTTAAATTTCTGCAAAATACGTGCAACTTTATAGCTAACTGATGGAAAGAAGGGAATGACAACAGAAGTTTTATAATTTCCTAAAAATAAGAGTGTGCCTTTTAGAGGAGCAAACTTCAAGAGCACGGAAAACATAGGAATAAAATGAAGCTAACTTTGTTTAGTCGGATGACAAGATTTGAAGTGTGGTGGAAGGCAAACCGATGAAGGTTTACAGTATATTGTAGTACTGAAGTTGGATGTGTTACGTGTGACCAAAAATGTCGACAAACGGAAGAGAAGGCAAGTTTCAAGTTCAAAAGTGAATTGAATATCAGGATCAATGGAATTCATTGTTGAAAGAACTTTCAACAATGAATCATCTTTATTATCTTCAAACAGGGTAAAATTATCGTCTACGTAGCGGAACCATACCAGAAGAAACTGGATTTTCTGGAGGCAAGTGTCAAACAATTTGGATTCATAATAATACATGTAGATATCAGCCAGGATGGGATTGAGGGGCCTTCCCATGGCTATTCAAGTATAACCCTGATTTTTGTTGTTTGATTTCAAAATTAATATTTGTTCCGCGTGTTATTGTATCTAAATTATTTGATCTTAGATTGAAACGAAACAAGTAACTTACAAATTTACCGTGACTAGATAAAAACTGAGATACTTTAAAATTATTTAAAAAGAAAATACTCAGAATGTAATCTACGGTAAACAGAAAGAAAAAACTTTTTGGCGCTCTCAGTATGACAAGATAAAAACATACTCCTCATTCCATCTAGCTAAGAGCTTCTTATAATGAAAAGACTTCCAATAACTCTTTGAAATATCAATATTTATTGGTAAATTACAGCATCTTTAGCTAATAAATGAACTTTATCATTTCCATAGAATCCAAGGTGACCGCGCACATAAGCGAAAAAAATATCAGGTCCCCTATTTCTAAGTGAACTGTCAGTTAATTAAGTTTTGAGTAATAATTTGTTGCTGTTGGTAATATTGCTTGAAAGGTGAAGAAAAGAAAGAGAATTAGAACAAATATGGTGCGTTCAGGATGCTGTCCCATTATTCTTGATCTACTTGGTGGCAAGATAAGTACCAAGACGCTCTGCTTGAAAACCAGTGCATTCATTTCTAATACGGTGCTTAAAATGGCAAACCATAGATTGGGCTTCAAAAGGATTAATTGCAAGACCAAACTTAATTTTCATTTTACTGCCATCTGTGAAGCAAATCGTATGATAAGACTTTTCCACAGTCTTTTTTGGCAGAAATTTATGGGCTCTAAAGTAGTTGGATGAGGAGTATCGGTAAGCGGACGTTTCCATTCATGCAGTCTTCCAAAGTATCAGTTGCCAATGCCCCGAAAATATTATTCTTATATTCAATTTCAAAATCAATAGGCGGAAATCCTGGAAGAACAAAAGTAGACTCATGACTTAAGATTCTATAACCATTAATAATGCGAAGATTCTCCGGTGAATTTTTCTTAGATTTCTTTTGCTATCTTCTTTGATTGAACATGTCCCCAAGCACGAAAGCCGTTTTCAAGTATTAAATCATTTTTTATGTTTCATGTATTAAATATTTTTTTTTAAATTTGATATGAGTATTACATTATGTTCTTGTTTATCTAATTTGAAAATTAAGTTTAGAATTCGAGTGTGAGATTAAAGAAATTAATTAAATCCAATTTTTTTCTAGATTAACTTCAGAGCATCTTATTTATAAATAAAATGTGGATTGCACAGTATTTTCAAGGGTACTTTTGTATTCAACGAAGTTTCAAGAATATCTACCTAAAGACTAATGCAGAGGATAAAAGTTGCAATAAAAGTTAACCAAGCATTTCTAATATTGTAATATTGTAAAGTAATTAGGTTAATTGGAAGCAGAAAAGATGAAAAATCGCTGCGATGCCTTCGCCGGGAATCGAACCACGGACCTCTGGAATACCAGCCCAGCGTGCAGAACCACTACACCACGAAGGACGTTAGGAAAGTAGGAGAAATACTTTATATACTCCCCTTTTTAAAGGGCGACTAGGGTTTTAAATGACCAGTCGCCAAATCCTGGGTGCGGAGAATCATCATCCACAACCCTTTTAGTTCGGGCGTCACTTGTAGAGTCATTAGGTTTATTGGAAGCAGAAAAGATGATAAATATGCAACCGCCTTTGCCGGGAATCGAACCACGGACCTCTGGAATACCGGCCCAGCGTGCTACCGCTACACCACGAAGGCACGCTAGGGAAGTGGGAGAAATAACTTATAATATTAGCAACATTGGCAGGACTTGGTTCCTGTTATTTTCATTTTGATTTCTTCTTTCCTTTAGCAAATTCTTGTATTCAATTTTACAGTATTAATATAATAGGCTAAACTAGGAATACATAATATATTAGACTAATTTCCAATTTATAGAACAAAAATTTATTCGTCGATTAAAATGTAAAATTAGGCTAACTCAGAAAAAATGTATTGTAGAGACATTAGGTTTTTTCGAAGCAGGAGATGTGAAAAATGAGAAATGCTCTCGCCAGGACTCAAACCACAGACCTCCTCTCGAATTCACATCTAGCATGCTGATCATTACACCACGAAAGCATGCTAAGAATGCGGGAGAAATACCTTGTATAAAATTTTCGAATTTCAAGAATAAGTGATATAAGATTTCTAAAGCATTTTCTTCAGTCTCCAGAAGTATAGAAACCAGAAGTAGGTCACCCGTAAAATGTTATGTAAAATGACTTTTTATGTAAGTAACGTTTTTACCAAAAATTACACAAATTTATATCCCTTAGTCATCATCATGACGTTGGAGTTAAATCTATGTGAGGTATATTTAGAATACTAATTAGTTTCAGTCTTTAAAAGCTCATATTTCTTTACCGTTTGAAATATCATTGTATCAGAATATTCAGGTTGTATAACTATAATTACTTCAGAGTAGATGGAAACTATAAAATATAATTTTTATTTATTTCAAAGTGTTTCATTTTCACATACAAAGATATTTTAGCTATAAATATAATAATTAAACAATTAATCCATACTTTGTTTGAAAATTTCAATGAAATCGAATGAGTGGCAAATAATTATAAAGTAAATATTACTTGAAAGAAGTTAGCATTAAATAAATTTATTTTTTAAATTAAATTAATCGGAAATTTTATACATAAATATCTCAGTAAATTTAATGTCACTCAAATGATATAATTAAATAATCTCATGATTTCAATTTCATGAAAAATTTCAAAAGATAATAATTCCAAGGTATAGATATGCAATTACTTAAAAAAGCAAAAACCGCCTATAATTCATACTGCAATGAAGACACTGGCACAAAAAACTTTAAAGTTAGGTATAAATACTGTTTTTGTATTGAAAGTTAATGAAAAACAATAGTAAAATATCCATTCATAAAATACTAAATAGCAAACATATGACCCATAAATTATGTATAATATTTCATTTAAAATATGCACCTAGAAAAACCTAGTGTATTTATCAACTCATATCAAACAGAAATAGACCTTGTTTCTAAAAGTTTTTTAGTATAATAAATCTAAAATTAATTAAATCTGGACATAAACATTAACGATTAATTAATTTTAGATCTGTGAGTTATTACCTTATTCATTTAATCCTTCTATAAAACATTAATCAAATACAATGAATATTTTGTTTTAAACACATAAACTCAAATGGTATTTAGAAATCACCTTTATATTTTTTGTCAAATTTAGCAAATAGCTACAAAAAAATTAAACGAAACATTAATTACAATTTATATGAAGTGACATTGTTTTCACCAGATACGTATTTAGAATTACATTATTACTTGAATTTAGTAGCAACTAAATCTTTTGAATATGCAGAGATTTGCATCATTATCACTGTAATCAATGATTATGGTAAATAAAATGCTTGATTTCTAAAATACGAA